CTTTGGAACACGTTTATACTTGTTTAAAATGTATCGTTGATTTGAATTCAAAATAGAAATGGTGGCGTGCAAGTACTGGCATTAAGTATACGTAACCTCATGTACAAATGCCTCTCATTCAAGAAAGGGTACCCTTTCTCTATTTAAAAAAAAAAAAAACGATTTTTGTACCCTACACAACTATGTTGTCAGGGTATTATAGCTTTGTGTATGTGGCCTCAAGAGTTTGTAATGCCGCGAAATATTGGTGACCCAAATTTTAGTATACCGATCGGCATATCTCGACAAGCTGAGTCCATTATAATTTGTAAACATGATACAGGCCACAGTTATGGACCAATCTTCACGAAATTTCTTGTAGAAACGGTTCTGACCAGGGAAGATCCCTATTGTTTTTGGTAGTGATCCATTAATACTTATGCGATGAAATGGACCAAAAACTTTATTTTTGTCTGTTTTTCTGGCCGCTGCAGTGGCCACAATTATGACCCGAATATCACTACATTTTATAAGGAGGATGTCTGATTTTGTCTGTTTTTCTGGTCGCTGTAGTGGCCACAATTATGACCCGAATAAGCATGACTATTCTAAGGAGAATCGGTCAATATTTAGCAGGTCAAGTGGACACAGACTTTTGTGTGAAGAATGACAAAATTTGTATTCTATGGTATATAAGAACTCCTGAAGAACGTATAATCGAGATGTTGATGGTATGGGGTAAGACTGTAGCTGATGGCTAGGAAATTTTTAAATGCGGTTCAGGATGATATTTTGGAGATAAAATGTCAGATCGCTTCGTATAATTCGAATGGCTGTCATAATAATGAAGGCCAGTATTTAGAGGCTCAAATTATGCCGCAGAGGAGCTGTCGACATCTAATATTGCGAAATATTACCCAGGTTCGAAATATAGGTCCGAAAAAAACTGAGCGCTTGGTGGTAGTTGTGTAGGGAAAAACGTCGAAAATGTCTATAAAATCAGAGAAATGATCGAAGTTGACCGGCATGTTATCAATCGTAACATCGCCCAGGAGCGAAAAACTGTTCTAAACCATTTAGACAAAGCTGGATTCAATAAAAAGCTCGATATTTGGGTACCACACCAATTAACAGGAAAAAATAGGATGGGTCGAATTTCCATCTGCAAAGCCTTGACAGACTGAATGAGATAGACTATTTTTTAAACGAATGGTGACTGGAGATGAGAAATGGATCACATACGTTAACCCTGTGCGAAAACGATCGTGGTCAAAGAGCGGTGAAGCACCTCAAACGGTGACCATAGACTAACGGCCAGGAAGGTTCTGCTATGCAATTGGTGGTACTGGAAGGGGATTATTTATTATGAGTTGCATATTTGGCTCAAATCGGACACTCCGAAGCATGTTAAATATAGTCCTATAGTTCATATAAAAATTATGGATTTATTTTTCCCCAACCTAATACATTCAAATATCTAATTTTTTTCCTACTCGATATACCCTTAGTTTTTCAGAATATTGGATATTTGGGGGCATTGCCTTATTTGATTCTATAGATCAACTCCTTGTGGTACTACGCCAGGAATTATAGGTATTATAAGTATTATAATACTAAGGTTATAATATTTATACTAAATGCAGTTGAAAAAGTCCACTATGGATATGTTTCTTTAGGTACCCTTTCAATTTTACGAACATTTTTGCCCCAGTGAATGCATGAAAATCACAGCATGTCACCTGCCCTCCCCTTCCTCCCAATGACAAAATAAAATCACACACATTTTAAAATCGTTTGCGTACACCTTCACATATACATATATCACAACATTCCTTTAAGTTAAGTTTATCCTCGCGAATAAAAAATAACAATGGTAACTTTTCAACTAAAAAATAAAGACAAAATAAATATTCGCCAATTTCTTTACGTCGCTTGCACAGCAACAAAAAACACCACCACCAAAAAATACACATTTATTTTTCACAACCCAGTGACGACAATTGGCTATAATCGTGGCATAACTTCGTGATAAATGGTTATTTACTTTTCGTTGCAAACAAAACTGTTTATTGATGTTGTCATTGTTGTTGTGGTGGCGGTGGTGGTTCGTAAGAAATTGGATAAATCCCATACATATTCAGCAACCAACCACATATTTGCGAGAAATGAAATATAAAATATTGGAAAATTAAACAAATAAAACAAAGAAAATCATATATTAAATTTATTATAATTCTGCGAGGACGTTTTAAAGATAATAAATTGGAAATGCGATATTTACATATTTGTCCTTTATTACAATTGTTTTACTTCTTTATTTATGGAAACATAGGGTTTAATATTCGTAGTCGTTAATATAAATTACAATAAACGACAACCAGAAGTTTTGTAAATGACTTAATTCACAAAAAGACTTATAATCGTTTGTGGGCATCTTAATGGGGTTGCTTGATCTTGAAAGCGGCAATTATATTGAATGCAAAAGAAAAGCCAGTAAGGAAACTAGTAAAGTCGGACTGGGCCGACTATATAATACCCTTCACCACTTTTGGTATATTCGAAGGTACATTGACATGAAATTGAACGAATTTAAATGTGTGATCTTTATCTATAAGTAAACCGAGATAGACCCATAGTTCCTTTTGAAAATATGCATAGAATCACTTTCTGAGTCGATTTATGCATGTCCGTCCGTCCGTCTGTTAGTGTCAAATTGTAAAGAAAGTACTGGTGCATTTATAATCCGATTGGGATGAAATTTGGCATAGGCCACTTATTCGGCCCAAGGACGAACCCTATTGAAATTGGGAAATAGCTCCCATATATAGTTTCGTCCGATTTCATGTAAATGGTGCACCAAAGTCCCTATGTATCTTTCGATTTGCACGAAATTTGGCATAACGTACTGAATTGAGTCTAGAATGATGTCTGTTAAGTTTCGAGAAAATCGTTCCAGATTTAGATGTAGCTCCCGAATTTAATCCAGAATGATTTTTGCGAAGTTTCGTGAAAATCGGTTGAGATTTGGATATATCTCCTTTTTATTATAGATTGATTTTAAGTAATTGACGCACCAAGGCACCAATATATGGTTGATAGAAACAAAACGTACTGAAATTAGTATAACTTAATATGTGACAAGTTTCGTTGAAATCGGTTCATATTTGGATATAGCTTCCATATATATTTTCGTCCTATTTTATGTAAATTGTGCATCAAACTCCTCATGTTTGTCAGATTGACATAAAACATACAAAATTAAGCATAGAATAACGTAGTTGCGTTTTCCAGAAGTACAGACATAGCCCATTGTAACAAACGAATGGCATGTTTATGGATAGATCTCGGTCGATTCACATTTAGATAAAAATCACATATTTCAGTTCATCCAATTTCATGATAATAGTCCTGCTTAGTATACTCATAGAGGTGAAGGGTATCATATAGTCGGCCCCGTCCAACTTTACTACTTTCCTTACTGGTTTATCATTAAAGAAATTTTGCAATGCAAGAACAAAATAATAATCGCTTGGTACCAAGTCCGGAATGTATGGCGGATGCATTAAAACTTCCCAACCAAGCCCCGGAAGTTTCTGGCGAGTCACTGTAGATGTGTGCGTTGTCCTGGTGGAACACGACAGCTCTCCTGTTGGCCAATTCTGGCCATTTCTAGTCAATTGCTACCTTCAAACGGTCCAGTTGATGACAATGGTCAAATGGAAGCAACTCATAATAAATAATCCCCTTCCGGTCCCACCAAATGCATAGCAGAACCTTCCTGACCGTTAGTCCTGGCTTGGCCACCGTTTGGGCAGCTTCGCCGCTCTTTGACCACGATCCTTTTCGCGCATCGTTATCGTATGTAGTCCATTTCCCATCTCCAGTCACCATCCCTTTAAGAAATGGGTTTATCTCATTATTTTTGACCAAGGTTTCGCAGATAAAAATTCAATCCATACTATTTTTTTCTGTTAATTGGTGTGGCACCAATCGTGCTTCTTCTTTGTGTAAATGGTTTAAAACAATTTTATGGTCGATTTTTAGTTCTGTTAGCTGTTGCGCCTGTTCATATGCCGGGCAACTTCCATAATTTCTCCGATTTTATCGACATTTTCGTCGATATGTGATAGAAAAAGGCTATTCGGATGGTGTATGTGGACCTGAGGCGTTAACGTCCGCCGCTAAAAAACATAGCCTTAAAATTCAAACATTGAGTCGCATATTAAAAGAAAATATAACTTTAGAGGATCTGAATTTCAACCAGACTGACAGCGGTGATAATTACTAGGCTATGATTATGGTGCCGAGGTACAGGGGGAGGTACAAAAAAAAATTGGCCAACAGGCCCCATCTTCGAACTTTATCTAGGATTGGTAAAGATAAAAGGTTGTGCAAGGTTTGATTCAAAACGGACATTCCATTCGCCTGATATTGTATTTATAGATATTGAAACTTTTAACCATTTGTGGGGGAAGTACCAGAAGGAGTGGACCAATGGGTCCCATCTTCCTACTTGATCTAGGCTTGTTAAAGATAGGTTGTACAAAGTTTGGGTCAAATGGTTGGTACGTTCGCATGATATTATAAAATTAATTTTTTGTACAATTTTGACCATTTTGTCGGGACGTACCAGAAGGAGCGAACCAATATTTCCCATCTTTGAAGGAAATATTTCGATGTGCAAAGTTTTGATGATATCGGTTACTCCCTTCGAGAGTTATCGTGCGTACCAGCTGGCCGGACGGACATTTGTAAATCGACTCCAAATTTTCTGAAACAGATTTGGTCCAAAGAAACATGGGATCTGAACCCAATATTTCGATAAGGCACATTTTCTTTATATCAAAGTGTATATACCCTCATTAACCATAAGGCTGAGGGTATAATTAGCTGTAATTGCAAAGAAAACCACAACAACTTTTCTTCCAATATTGTCCCCAATATTTATTAGTTTTTAACTTAAAGACAACATTAAATTCTCAACATATTTTCTTATTTTGTTTGAAACATTCCTTCTCTATTTAGCGAAAATTCCTTTGGCACTGGCCATTGCGATTACGACAATACCCAGGAGCACAAATACAACGTCTCTGCTCAGGATGATAGCATAGCCGCAGCAATGGGAATGCATTTGTCGGTGATGATGATGACGACGACGATGAGCGACAAATGTTTTCGCAATTTTTACCCCAGGGAACAATTGGCCGTTCATTGGGGAAACAATCGTGTGCTGAAAAAGAAACACAAATAAAACACACACCCACATCCACACAAATAAAGTCAAATTCATAAAAATGTCAAAAGTTTGTGTCAGTCATTTGTGGCGATAGAGAGACTATAATGGGATTAATTGGGGAGTGTGGGGAAAATAACATAATGAGGAGATATGAATTTGCACAACATATTGGCGATGGGGATGGGGAAATTATTGTGCTGAGATATTTCCTGACACACAATTTGCAAGCGACCGATTTAAGGTACTTTGAAAGCACTTGCGTCATTTTCAAAAAAAAAAAAAAAATACGTCAATGCCAATCACGATAGAATCATTTCAGTTTAGTCTTGTCCCCGAAAAAAGGTGCTGTAATTTATAATTTGGGTTTTTTAGGGTTCCAAAATCTACTGGTAGACATTTTTTAATATAGCTTCATTGTTCAGATATATAGGTACCAACCTATACAAGATATTCTGAGTATCAGGGAGGTGTGGATTTTTAAAATCATTTTTTCAGGGACCGCCAAATGCGCGGATTTTTAAAATGATTTTTTCAAGGGCCTTTAAAGGCGTGGATTTTTAAAATGATGTTTTCAGGGATCACCATAGGCGTGGATTTTTAAAATCATTTTTTTCAGGGACCATCAAAGGCGTGGATTTTTAAAATCATTTTTCAGGGACCACTAAAGGCGTAGATTTTTAAAATCATTTTTTCAGGGACCACCAAAGGCGTGGATTTTTAAAATCATTTTTTCAGGGACCACCAAAGGCGTGGATTTTTAAAATCATTTTTTCAGGGACCACCAAAGGCGTGGATTTTTAAAATCATTTTTCAGGGACCATTAAAGGCGTAGATTTTTAAAAGGCGTGGATTTTTAAAATCATTTTTCAGGGACCATTAAAGGCGTAGATTTTTAAAAGGCGTGGATTTTTAAAATCATTTTTCAGGGACCATTAAAGGCGTAGATTTTTAAAAGGCGTGGATTTTTAAAATCATTTTTTCAGGGACCACCAAAGGCGTAGATTTTTAAAAGGCGTGGATTTTTAAAATCATTTTTTCAGGGACCACCAAAGGCGTAGATTTTTAAAAGGCGTGGATTTTTAAAATCATTTTTTTTAATGTATAACCACCCTAATATATGGACATAATTACTTTTTTGCCAATTATTAAAAATTATTGTCATCATACTTACAACATTGCGCTCTTGGAATACATTTCTGTTGCAGATTTCGAGCATAATTTGGTTGACAGTAACAACCGGATTGTGGTCGTTCTCTGGACAAAGGACATTGACGTTGCAAATCCTGACAATTGACATCGCATATGGGTGAAAGTGTGGAATTATAATATAATTCATACAGCGGACATTGAGCTGAAAGCAAATTAACATAAAAAACATAAGGTTAAAAAAATAAAAAACATACAGATACATGAGATACACATTCAAAGTGTGAAATTCATTTCGATTACATTACATTTCTCGCGCCCTCACTCACCATTTACTGGGATTATTCGCATGAAATTTATAACAGCCAATGAAATGAATATGAAAATCATTTTGAACCTTAAAACGAATTGTTTTTTTTTCTGAATATGGCTACGGACGAGCACCTGAGCGTTAACTGCTAAAAAACACCCCATCGAGCGTTCGATCGGTAGCTGGTTGCTGGTAATATTTATTATTTTTATACCAACAATAAGACTTTAATTGCAGGCATTGCACACTGTTTTTATTGTTTTTGCTACTGTTGTGTAATTTATTATTTATTTGTTTTGGGCTGGGGGAGTGCAATATTTATTGTCATATAGATAAAAGGATACATAAAAGCATGAATACTGAGCAGAACAGCTTTAATGTGATATGACTTCTTTGAAAATATTGAAAATAAGAAAAATAAAGTTCAATAACTGTAGGAAGTGATACAATAATTATGGCCAAATGGAAATATCAGTTGAGTTTATTGGGATTTGCTGTCGCTATAAGACAGGCTTATAACAATTCGTTCCTGTAAAGAGAAATTTTTAAAATAAAAAATAATATATGCAATTTATATAAATATAACATAAATTTACTTGTTATAGTTTGCACTGAACATGAAATACAATTGCCTCTTAATTGTTACATTATTTTTTGCAAACATTTTGACATTGACAAATGGTAAGTAATTACAAAAAAACAATTGCAATAAAACATAAGCTGATTTTTTATATTATTTTTCAGCTCAACGTAATTGCCGTCCTAGAACAGGTCGGGTTCAGGCTAGAGAACGAGTTTGTCATTTGCTGTGCGGTGCTCAGGCTAGACCAAACTTTGAAAGATGTTCCATATCAACACGGGAAAGACTTGTGGTGCGTTGTCCACCAAGATGTTGTCGCAGTGGCCGAGCATGTAGAAGAGTGTAAAATATGGTGTTTCAATTGTCGGAAATAAATATTAAATTTCATCAATAATGAAATATACTGCACAATTATTTCTAGCCAAATGGTCCTTGTAAAAAAATTTGATTATATAACATTACGAAATATTGGTTCTATATCCACTTTTCTAGTATACGCATATGTTAAGAAGTTATTTGGATATTTCTTTAAATTAAATATATACCTTTAAAAATATTGAATTTTTATCGGAACCATACGTTGACAGAAGATTTGACACCAAATTAGAGCCAAATGTTTTTCAACCGGCTGGAAAATGGACGTTGATGCAAAATGAAATAAATATAACTTTCGGAAGTTCTATATTTTGAGCTTGGCCAATATTTCACGATATCCTCTTGACCGACCATAGGTCAACAAATATTACTAATACTCCGTACAGCCCTTCTAATTACTTGTCCAGATTCCCTTCACTGTGGGTTGTGTAGTGATGTTCGGCTTTTAATTGTGGCCTATAGATCGAATCGAAAAAAATAAGTTTTCGGTCCACTTTATCCCAAAATTATTATCTGATCATCGCACTATAGGCCAAATGACCAGTTTTTCTGTGCAAAATTGAAAAAAAAAAATCAAAGTGTCGTTCTTCACGAGTTGTTGTTGTTGTTTTTGTATTTAGAACACTCTAAAATAGAGACACGTGATATTAATTAGTGCTAAACATAAAGGACCGTTACACAGCTGGCCGTGCAAGTCGCTCAATACAATTTATTCTATAAATATGCTTATATGTATTTCTGTGGGGCTTAGTCAACTTTGAGTGCGTGTTATTTCGATTGTGTTTACAATAAGTAATTAGTGTAAAATGGAAAATATAGATACAAGTGAGTATATTTATATTAAATCAAAACATTTTTATGTTTGCGACACTATACTTGAAAATAACCCTTTAGTCTATGAAGACTTTAAAAAGTTAAAGTAATTTGATAGATTGACTTTCAGTAAGCTATTAAAAAAATGACCCAATATGACCTCTTTGAAATTTTACACATAAATTAAGTGATAATTAATGAATTAATTTAAATTTATTTCAAGTTGCGATTTTTTGCGTTTTGCGAGTAATGCCTCTTTTATCTAGGCAACCTCCGTATAAAAAATCGAACTTTTTGAAATATGGCGAAAAGAAGGTAACAAAAAGGAAAAACCTGTTTGCAGTTTTCAAACATGTAGTGAGCAAAATTGATGTCGACAACATTTCGGATGAAAGAGAGAAATTTTTAAACCAAATAGTACATTTATTTTGCATAAAATTAGCGCAAAATTTGGAAAAATGTCACAGAAAGATAAATGTTTTCAAAGACAACCAGTAAGGAAAGATCAAAAGTCAGACGGGGCCGACTATATGATACCCTTTACCACTTTGGGTACAAACAAAACATGATAATGTGTACAATATTCAGTTGATAGAAGAGACATACCATCTTTGGATGACCATTAACATGGAATCGGGTAAAAAACAAATGTGATCTACATAGATATTTGAGCCAATAAAACCCATACACATGACATTCGCATAAATATTGAAAGTTTGGTGCACCATTTACCTAAAATCTCAATATGGACAGATTTCAAGGAAAACTTCATAGATGCCAAACTGGACTGAATTCAGTACGCTGTGCAAAATTTCGTTTAAATCGGACCATTATTGGGAGTTTGGTGCACCATTTACATAAAATCGGACGAAACTATATATGGGAGCTATATCTAACTCAGAACCAATTCCAACAATACTTCGCATACATCAATCTGGACATAATTCAATACTCTGTGTAAAAATTTGTCTCAATCGGACCAATATTGGCAGTATGGTGCTTTATTTACATAAAATCGGACGAAACTATATATGGGAACTATATCTAAAACTGAACCGATTTCAACAAAACTTGGCACATATCAATCTAGACCTAATTCAGTTCTCTGTGCAAAATGTTGTCTCAATCGGACCAATATTGGCAGTATGGTGCTCTGTTTAGATAAAATCGGACGAAACTAGATATGGGAGCTATATCTAAATCTGAATCGATTTCAACAAAACTTGGCACATATCAATCTAGACCTAATTCAATACTCTGTGCAAAATAAATCAGACTAATATTGGCAGTATGGTGCACAATTTACATAAAATCGGACGAAAATATATATGGGAACTATATCCAAATCTGAACCGATTTCTTCCAAATTCAACAAAAACGATTCAAGTAACACAAAAAAATAAGTTGAGCCAAATTTCATGACGTATACTATGATTTTGTTGCCGCTATTAATTTTGCACAGAAAAAGTGGTCATTTGACCTATAGTGCATCGCCGAAAATTATAGGCGTTGTCCTTGACCATAACTGAAACCTCATGGAACATTTCAATGCGATACGCGCTATATTTCCGCCCCTGTAAATATTTAAGTGTAATTCCAACATCCGAGTACATACGACAATATAATTGGTATCAATTTAAAGGTCAACCACTCCTCTTGGATATACTATCAACTTCTAGGCTCTATGTCCTTCAGGGGTAAATCTATACGCTATAGAATAAAAATTTTGTCATTTTTCACACAAAAGTCAGGGTCCTTTTGACCCGCTAAATATTGACCGATCTTTACCAGTATCGTATTTACAAAATATAATGAACAGACGGACGGACGGACACACATGTCTAGATCGACTTAGCTAGTCGAGATCGGTCGGTCTTTTCGAAGGAACATTGACATGAAATTGAACGAACTTAAATTTACGATCTTTATCTATATGTAACCAATTCTATATTTTGTAAATATATTTAAAGCAAACTTTACACCCGCTATTTGGCATGCTTCACTGTTAAAAATTTAATATCAATCAGGCACCTATTGTTTATTTGGTTTTCAATCAATATGAATAGGTCGAAATTATATATGGAAACTATGCTATATCTAAATTTCAACCGATTTCAAGGAAACTTGCCAGAGATTAATTTCAGTACGTTATGTCAATCGGCCTAGCTATGGGTCTTTAGTGTAACATTTATTTAAAATCGGACGAAAGTATATATAGGAGATATATGTGAATCTGAACCAATTTCAAGAAAACTTAACACACGAAAGGTTATAGTAACTACAATACATTGTACAAAATTGTCTGCCAGTCAGCCAAAGTCAGCTATATCTTAATCTGAACCGATTTTCACGAAACTTAGCATACATCATTATGTCAGTATTCAGAAGACATATAGGGGCTTTGGTGTTCCATGAACATAAAATTGCACGAAAATATATATGGAAGCTATATCTAAATCTGAACTGATTTTCACGAAACTTAACATACGTAATTGTAGACTCAATTCAGTTCGCTACCAAAATTCGTGCAAATTGAAGGAAATATAGGGGCATTGGTGCACTATTTACCTAAAATCCGACGAAAATATATATGGAAGCTATATTACATCGGGACCGATTTTCACGAAACTTAGCACACACCACTCTGAACCTAATTCAGTACCCTATGCCAAATTTTGTGCAAATCGAAATATTCACCCCTATTCCGTATGTCGTCGTCGTTGTCGACGACGTTTCTCTTTCGACATCACTTCGCATCGACATCGACATCACTTCGACACTGAGTTGGTATTCTGTAACACTCATGCGACGATGTCGACTATTTATCGATAATATCAATGAAAACAAAAAACACATTTCTAAAAACATAGTCAGATGTTTATTTTGTTGCATATTTTTGGGCAAAAATGTGTTTGTATCCTTCACCGCACTGTGGCACAGGGTAAATGGTAAATGTGTTTGCAACAACCAAAAAGAAACGAGATAGACCCATAGTTACTTTTTAGTATATATGTACATCGAATTATTTTTCAGTCGATTTATGCATGTCCCTCCATCCATGCATTATTTTAAACAAGTTACATGCCACCATTATGATCCGAATGGGATGAAATTTGGAAAATTGCATCCAATTGGGATGAAATTTTATTTGGCGCATAGACGATTCCTGTTGACATTGGTCAAAATCAATTCAGTTTTATATATAGATCCCATATATTTTTCTTTATTTACACTTTATTTTGCATTACGTATTGAATAGATTCTAGAATGATGTGTCCTGTTCTTGTCCGGTCATGTTTTTTTTTAATTTCT